TAAGAAATTTGTCCATCTTCATTAGAGTCAAAACAATTTTTGTGGAAATCTTTTCCTATTTAATTTTTTTTACATCTGGCAATAACATACTTACTGATGTTCCATTTTACGTTACGGTTACTCTGGCTATAAATTAATTTTGGCCTTTGTTTTTTGCTTTTGGCTTTTTTTTTCCTTTTTTTTTTTTCCCCTGTTTTATCTTTCGTTTCATTCATGGGATGGAGAATGGAAATTCAGCCTTTTAAATGCAGTTTTACTCAGGAGATTCTTTCCAGAACCATCTGTTTCCCAAGAATCTTCAGACATATGTTTATGATTTCTTCAGTGAAAGGGGATCTGCTAGGCCTGGAATATCTTGGTGCTAGTTGTCACCATTTTACTCAATCCAGCAGACAGTGAATATCTGTTACGGATGTCAGCTAAACTGACTCATCCTCACATGCCAGCTTTATATGGAGATGGGAGCTGAAAAAGTTTTTTATCCATGATGCAGTATTTGACTTGCCTCACTGAATAACCAGGGTGAAAGATGTGGAGTATAAAAGCCTCTAATTCTAGTACGACAATGAAGTTGTGGTTTCCCCTCAGAGTCGTTCTTCATGGGTAAGGGGGAAGAGGACCTGCCCTTGTGGTCCTGACTTTATAACTTCTCATGGTTTTTGCAGGGGACAAGGACAAGGACAAGGGTAATGCAGGAATAGTGCTGAAACCTGATGTAAAATGTATTCAGGAAAATGCAAAGCAAATAGAACTGACCTCTTGTGCTGCAACTTTTATAATCATCACACACTCTAAACAACAAGAAAAAAAGCTACTGAGGTCTTTTACTTTCTACTGAGTTTCTTCAACAGGAATCTGAAGCTGCTTGAAAGCTGTTTGGGAGCATTGAAAAACATTCTATCAACTATGTACAGATATGAAATTATTATCTTTTGATGTACAGATGACAGGTGCTAATTTGTTTGGGTTTGTTGTTGTTTTCTTGGGTTTTGTTCTGGCAGGGTGAGCAAGGAGATCTGGGGGAAGCAGGTTACCCAGGAGAGACCGGTCTTCCAGGCCCACAGGTAACTAATAAAACTTATGTTTTTATTTTAGCTAGAAGAATATGTTTTTATTTTAGTTAGAAGAAAATGAATTGTCAGTCTTGATATTTTGTTTTTCTTTTGGAAAGCTTGGTTAACTTCAGCTTCCGAATCTTGTAAGAAATCTTCCTTGGCAAATTTCTTATGTAACCCTGAGGAATTAAATGTGGCAAGTTATGTCGGTGCAGCTTCTAGTGAAATTAAAAGAGGAAAATGAATAGCAAAAATAAGTAATTTAACCAACACATCATTAGAAATTGCATAAAATCTATTGCATTGACAAAACCAATGTGAAAAGCTTTGTGTTTTAAAAATATGCTAGGTGGAGTAATTTTGAAGAGAATTATCATGGTAGACTGTTTATAGTAGCTTCCAGTTTTAAGATGTTCTTAGATCCTCTAAAGATGCTTTTAACTTAATGTTTTAGGATCTGGAGAAAGTGTGCCTAGTTCATAGTGGGCTGCTTATGGCTCCCTTGATATCTTAGACACCTCAGTGAATCTCTGAATCAGGCTGTTGGGCAGTGACCATCTCAGCTGCTTCACACAGGAAAATCCTGAGAACCAAACAGCCAGAAGTTTCACCTGTGCATTAAGGCTCACGAAACAGGCACTTGTATTCCGATCATTGCAGGAATCTGATCTTCATTGAAAGACTGTCAGCAGTCTGGAACTGACTTTTTTTTTTCAATGGCTTTTTTACATCAGGGCCCAAGAGGACCACAAGGGATCAGAGGACCTCCAGGACCACAAGGCATGCCAGGCCCTCTGGTTAGCTTTAAATAATATATTCCTACTGTACACATTAGGGCTTTTCATTCTCAGTGTTGATATTATTCTTATAAAGAGTTTTTAAAAAGCTTATAGAAAGTAGAAACTGAGGTTTTTTTGATGTAACTGATTTTTTGTAACTGATTTGCAGCTTCATATGATAACAGCCTTGAAAATAAGTTTAGGTGGGTGAATAGGAAGTGAATGTCAGTGTTACTGAGCTTTTGCATGATTGTAGTGAGGAGCCTTGTCTTTAGATTTTACTCTCAGTTATCTAGTATGAGGACTAAGAGCATGGCTTGCAGCATGTTTAAATACAGATGTACAGTGGTGTAGTTGAGATCAAAGTTATATAATGATCAGTAGTTTCATTATGGCCTGTGAGATTTACTGCTGAAGTATGATCAGGTTGTAACATTTGAGCACTGTCTTCTGATCTCCTCCTCTGTGTGATGCTCTTGATTTTGGAGGTTTTTGTTCTGGAATTACATCAGTGTAAATCAGGACTGGAATGTCCTACACTGTCAGCCTTGGTCATCTGCTTCAGTCAAGTAATAATGTTCATGATTACACACCCAATTATATGTGTGCATTCATGGTTTTGTGCACATGTGCATGTATTGACTAAGTATCTGTGTAGGCTGAAAATAACATTCATTTCATACTTAAAAGCATTTTGAGGTTTATACAGCAGTTGTACAGAAGACAGGAAAGAAATGGAATGATAGCTTGACCAGTAACTCTTACTGTGGTCCTTGAAAGCTTGTAAATGCACTATTATTTATATTGACTCTGTAGTAATTTCAAGTGGGAATGAATCCTTGAGTGCAGTGAGCCCTTGATTTCTTCACTGTACACCTTTTAACTGATACTTCTTATTACAGGGTAGTCTGGGGCCCCCAGGTTCACCTGGCTCTGTTGGAAAGTTAGGTGCAAGAGGAGAAAAGGTAAAGATTTTTAAGGTATCTAATTGCAGCAATCTAACAGTATCATTCATTCAAGAATTTGACTGAAGAAGCATATTCTAACACTTTGTTAGTCCTATGAAACATGTGTAGAATAAGATCTATAGACATTTTCAGACTGCGTGGGAAGACAAGTGATATGTTCAAGGTAATCTTACAGGTGTCAGAGAGATAATAAGAAGTTTTTAGTTTTGCCATGACCACTAATGTAATTGCTGTTGTGGTAGTGGTTCTCAGTGGGGCCTGGTTTCTCACAACATGCAAGACTGCTCACCTGACCCTGAAGCTCATTTTAGGATTCCTAGAATCTGTCCAATCCATTGCAAATACATTCCAGTTAATTACAGAATATCGCATGTTGGGAGGGACTGATGAGGATCATCAGGTCCAATTCCCTGTCCTCACATGGCGAGTAAACCACATGACGAAGTGCGTCATCCAGACATTTCTTGAACTCTGACAGGCTTGGTTCCATGAGAACCAAAGGTTCCACTTCCCTGAGAAGCCTGTTCCAGACTCTTTGTGAAGACCACCCTCTTTGTGAAGAACTTATTCCTAATGTCCAATCTGACCTTACCAGTTCAAAGCATAGTTGCTTATTTTCACCTTTTTTTTCTAAAAATTCCTAACAGGTCCAAGGAACCTTGACTATTACGATGTCTATCATAGAGGAATGAGTATGTTGAGAACAATTAAATCAACATGAAGTTTAGCAGAAAGACTTATGCTAATAGATGGTCTGCGTTAGAGTTCATTTATAATAAATGTTATCCCTTACTTTCCTTTCATTTATGTTAATATGGGAGACTAACTTTATTCGATAAAAATAACTCATTTTAGTTGTTGAATCTTTGAATGTAAGTCATAAGTCATACCAGTTATCTAAGCCTTTCAGTCTCTTTGAAGGTTTGTTACATTCAGTGACAGAGAGGTATCAGAAAGTCGAACTGTTACTGTAAAAATAGTCACTGTGTGAAAACATACAGTGAAACAGTGACAAAAATTGGAAAAATACTTAGAAATTTTCATCATACCTTCTATTTTCTGTGTCTGATTTTGTGCTGTTTAATATTGGGGTCCTTGTTAGAAGAAAGTTCGATTGGAAAGTGGAAACAAAAAAGGGACTGAAGAAAAGAAACGCTGTGAGAGGACTAAGAGCTCACTGCAGACAGCCTGCCTGAGAAATATCTGCTATCAACAGGTGGTTCAGGCTGGTAGAATTCCAGGATATATCCTGCTGGTACTATATTATAAACTTTTCCAAACCCCACTTTTTTCACTGATAATGCTGTATAACAATGGGAGTTTTGTTGAATAAAGGCCTTTGGAGTTAAGCTGCATGAATGCTCAGCATATTCTGATTTGCCTAGTCCTTTACGGTTCCACCATAAGGAACATTCCATGAAACATGGTCTCTAGTGAAATGCTTTTGCCCAGCATCAACTAGTCTACAAAATGTATAGGTACACATCAGTCTAACACACAACTTCACATTTCAGAAAGAAGAATTCTCCTGAATGAGTCCAACTAACAGCTTCCGTGTTTCAATTGTAACAGGGTGAACCTGGTGACCCTGGAGAGAAGGGCCCAATCGGACCACCTGGACAGAGAGGCATGCCCGTGAGTCTTTCTCCCCTAATTCAGAGCCCCTGTAGTTTAATACCAATCCAGCTGAAATACTACAGTTCATTCCTTTATATTTTCTCTGATACAATTAAAATTATTTCACATTTGGTTCCCAATTTCCTTATGGACACCAGATTCCTTGTGGGCTAGAGAGAATATCTTTCACATCAAATTCTCTAGAGGAAAGAATATGCTGAAGGTAGGGCACACAAGGAGAGGAACTGTGGCCTTAATCCTTATTTTCTCTCTATGGCTTTTACCACCATTTGCTGCTGGTTTTAGACCATATAGTGAGAACTTGCCCTAATTCATTAATCTTAACAGCCTGAGCACCTCACTGTAATGGGACATCTTTATTTCAAAGTCAAACTGGATATAAATCTAATCCTCTATTAAAATATAACTCATGGTATGTTCAACCTATGCAGGGCGTGGATGGCAGAGATGCCTATGGTCCTGAAGGAAGCAAAGGAGCAAAGGTGAGTGCTTCAAGTCAGAATGTCTCTCAGTCTTCTGCAGTATCAAATGGAACATCCGTATTATATTAAAAAGGAATGTAAGACATGGCCATAGTAAGAGGTTCAGGATTCCCACAGTCCTTGTGAGAAATTCTTCAATAAGATATTCTTTTGAGGACCCCTCTCTCTTACTCTTTCCCTTGATGGGTGTATATGGATATGAAGGATTGTACTTCTTGGAGTACACAGTGCTTTCTGCCCACTTCAGTCTGCTTGACTAGCCACTCTTCTTGGCAAATATTGGTGGTCCAGCCACTTGGGGCTCTTCTCATTTTTCTTCTTTCGGTAGAGGGATTCCTTGACTACCAAGGAATACTGAGACAGTAAGGATATTGTTTTAATGTGAAATATTCTTCCTTGTGCTCCTATGGTCAGCAATAAGATCTGGGGATAAACCTCTGGATTACTAAGAAACTCTTATCATTCCCTTCACAGTGCTGAATTAAAAAAGCAATTAATTTCTCCCTTCTTTAAAAACATAAAAGAATCCAGCTAAAATAAAAAGTATACAGAAATGAAGAGATCAAAATCATGGCACCAGTGGCACCAATGGGTCGCTCTGGGAGCAGAGGGGTCAGGATGCTGGAAAAAGCTGCAGTCCTCCTTTCAAGGAGTTTGTGTAGTGTTGCAATACAAGTCCTTTCTTGCTGCTTGTAAAATAGAAGTGGCCCAGTGGATCTCTGATAGGCCTGTCTTTCACTGTTCCTTTTTGTGGGAGAAGCAGAGTGTTGTAGGAACCTGCAGAAAAGATATGAAAGGCTTCCCGGGAGCCTCTCCAACTGATGAGCTCCTTTTGCTAAAATGGCTCTTGGTGCTTCTTATTTTCCAATATCTTTTCTCACCTTCTTAGCTCCAACAATTCCTTTTCATAGGAGAGTTTCGTAGGTTATGCATACATTGTATACAAGACTAATTCTTTTAATCTCTTGAAATCTCCCACTTGTTCACTTCAGGGAACATCCTACATGTTAGAAGAATGGAGGAAAAAAGTTTCTGTTAAATCTTCTAGTCATTTTTCATTGTTTTAAAGGATTAATTTAAAGCCTTTCTTATACACTGATGTCTGCCCAGGGTTTGGCAGGGCCTGGATTAAAGCAATTAATAAAAATAACCAAAACCCAATTTACTCCAGAATAGTGATTCAGAAAGAATGACTTTCCCCTGATAGCTAAGAGAATAACCTTTAGTATAAATTTTACTTAAGGTTGCTATTAATTATACAGGTTCACAGTCACATTACGCTCTCTTACATGTAATGGGGGGTGTATGTACATGAAATTTTCTGAAAATTGTTGGATAAAGTCATATGATGTTTTACAACCAAGTCCACTTCCATGGGAGGGAACTCTTAGAACAATGGCATACGTAAGTAGTGTGAATTCTGATGTTAAGGAAAGAGATACTTCACTTCTGATTGGTTTATACGAGAGTTTCCATATTTCTCATATACGAGCAAAGAACACACCAGAAACTGAAGCAACTGAAAACAATTAATGAATTGACTTCTGATATGCCAACAAAATATCATGGTATCATTGTTTAGTATGGAGGGTACAACATTTTGAAACTGCATTCAAACACTGAGTTCTGAGTTCATTTACTCCTAGTCACTATACGTGAATTCCACTGTATGTTACTAGGATGCATAAATAAGTTTTGATAAGACATATATTTGAGAAACTGAGAATGCTTGAAAATCCAGAAACTGTTGGAAATTTTTAAAATGCTCTTCCTTTAGATGAGCAAGGTGTTCATAAAGAATGGTGTTATTTGAGACCAGAGTAGTAGCCACAGTTACTTGAATAGGCTGGAATGCTAAGAATAATTTTTAAATTATTTTTCGTTTAAAGGCATCAAACACTAAGCAGATCTTAAAGTTCTAGATTCCTATGAAGTCTTTGTCCTTTCTTTTTGTAGGGAGAATCTGGATTCATAGGATATCCTGGTCCAGAGGTATGATTAAATGGCATATTTCCTTTCCTTATGTATTGTTTTACATTTTTCTATTTGGAAGTTTTTGTCAGTCTTTCTATCTGTCTTCTCCTTTCCTATAAAGTTCTGAATTTCATTAATTTTCAGGGAGAAGATGGAGACCCAGGCATTCCAGGAGCTGAAGGACCCAAAGGAACTAGGGGTAGAAGAGTAAGAATGACAAATTTGCTAACTCTGTGAAGAGTTCTATAAATAAAGCCCTTATGTCCTAGGTGTTTTCTCACAAAGAAAAAAAGTTAAATTGTTTCCCACCCTGATCTTTTATTGCCATATCTTGTGCAACAGGTCTTGAGAGAATGCAGGTCGGAGTCTTCAGAGATGCTGGTTGCTAATAATTCTTAATAGTGGTAGTCTATGTAAATGCAGGATCCAACTCACAATATGATTATGGAGGGGTTTTTTCCCCTTATGAAATTTGGCACCTGTGTGTGCAATTATAAAGAATGAAACTTGTATTCCTATTTTTAGGGTAATGCTGGCACACCAGGTTCCCTGGGAGATCCAGGAGATCAAGGACCATCAGGACCTATGGTAATATAGTTTTATTTTTTAAAAAAATCACTCTTAGATTGATCTTAGACTTACTAGTAGAATAACGGAATATTTAATTATGTTTCATATGCTTAGTTGCCTGGAAGTTGTATAGAGTCATGTCTTGCCTGTGGATATGTGTGCACAGGAGCACCTGCTGTTGAAATGGAACTGCAACAATATAGTGCAGGGCAGAATTTCTTCCACAGTATTTGGTATTGTCTAAAATATAGAACTGGATTGATCTGCTGAAAGCCAATGTATTTTTTTCATTTCAAAAGAAAAGCCATTTAAAATCAGACTTGCAGTTAAAAGGCGTGCACTTAAAGCTTATATCGATTGTAGCATGTTAGTCCCTATATACAAGTAAATGTCCTGAGGTACTTTTCCAGTGTCTGTGTTCTGCATTTTATACAACAAAATGTTTTATTCTCTATCTAAGCAGATGAAAGGATTGTGGATTTCAATAGGATTTAGGACTAACCTTGTAGGTAGCTAGGAAAATCCCTGTATCTGTCTACCTTTATCCTGTAGCAATGCTGAAAATCAACTCCATAGTGACCAGAAACAATCTCTACTGTTACTGATTTTCATGTTAAACTTTCTTAGGCCTACTCTTAGTTTAAATGTGGAACATTACTGATAGCAGTATCTTTACCTGTAAAACATGGCCCATGGGATGTGTCAGCTTAGAAAACTTTTTTTCCTTCTCATTACACTGTGTTGGTCAATGAATATACCCATCCCACTTTATTTTATGATGCTGGGCACAAGAATGGCTAAGAATGCATTGCCTTCCTAGCTGCTTGGCCACTCACATGTTACAGGTAAACAAATCTTGTGAGCTGATGAGCCACAGCCGTTGGCCTTGTCAGTCCATGGTCCAAGAAGTCTTCAGAGGGATTTCAAGCTCAAGATCTCCTCTTCAAATGTAGAAATGAGAGTAGAGCTTGGGATATATGGGCTTGGTGGGATTATTATAGTAGCTGTGCATCAGTGAAATGAGAAAGTGGGAAGTCTGTGGGAAGTGGAAGTGATAGGGAATGCAGGAAGCACGGGTAGTAGGCAGGGACAGCCAAAACGGGCCTGTCTTACCCGTCCTTCCTGCTTGGTGACATGATTGTCTGTATGTGTCAAGTCTGCACAGCTCAGTCACCACCACTGAGCTGCTGCAAGTAGCATTAGGGCTCAGGCAATTCACAGTTAACTCTTGCTGAACAGTACCAAAGAAGAACATTGACCTACTGGGAAGCATGAGAAGAAAAAAGCATGGAATGGCTGTGATGGTGCTAGCAGCAAGACAGCAGGAGAGGTGAGGAGCGTAGCTCAGGCAGAAGATGGAGGAATGGAAGGTTAATTGGAAGGGGAAGGAACAAATAAGGAGACAGGGTTGTAATCTGAGGATGTAAGAAAGTATATAATTTTGGTGAACTGAAATGTTATGGTAGAGAGAGGGTAAGGTAAAAGCTGTGGGATGTGGAGTTGAAATTTTTCTGGTGTGTCTCACTGCAGCCTCCTGCAAGTAAGTGAGAATTTTCAGTAGTCTTCCTACACATCTGAATGCACACATGATGAGAACTCTCAAGCTCCTTTGAAAAAAAAAATTCCTTTGCCTCTGTTTTATTCCCATTATGAAGATTAAAAAATACTTTTATTTTGAAAAAAAAGTTCTTGAGGTGCTAGCATTTTTCCACAGCTCCCAAGGAGAAGGATGCAGAGTAGGTTGAGCTATCATGATGTGTGTGTGTTCTGCAGGGTCTTTTGAAGTAGAACTGTACGGATTTTACCCTGCAAGAGTAGAGGGCAAGCTTGTCACACATCAGGTGTTGGAAAGTACGGAAAGTCCAAATAACTGAACATAGCACAGAAACTGCTGTTTATTAAGGAAATCCAGTTCTGAACTATACCGGTCCTCAAGGGCAACAAGTATTGAACATTTTAAAACCATTAATGAAAATGGACTGAGAAATAAGTCTGACAAGTGGTCTGTAACTCTGGAATGGGTCCACAAAAATCTATGCTGGGAACTGATGTCTCCTCGTATTTCAAATTCATAAGTGCTTGTTGGGAAACACTATATGCCTGCATTTTCTTTGGGCTACAGAGTAATAGATGGAAATACATTATCAGGGTCTGACTTTTTGGACCTGTGTTTATTTTGTTTCAGGGTGCCAAAGGACCAATGGGCACCATTTTAATGGAAGTAAGTAACAACCTTACAGCTAACTGTACACTGCATGGAATTATCTGGTTTAGTCTTCCATTTATAAGCACTTACAGCAGTGCACACAATTAGCTGTTATAAAACAATATCCTTTTCATGTTCTTGTCAGAGTGCAGTGCGTTCATCTGTTCTGCAAATGATCAAGGAATGAGAAACAATTATGCCTATGGATTAACACCATGTCCAAACTTTTACAAATCGTTGGACCATTAATATTCATTTACCTGTTTCTTTACTCACATCAGTTTACACACTAGCTCATGTTTAGGGTTACTTTTTCCCCTCTTGTAAAGGAAGGCATTTCTTCAGCAACAGTTATTTTCACTGGGAATAGAAGTACAAGATTTCTTCAGAATCGTAATCCCATATAAGATGAGCACTTCTGAGCAAAGGTTCCATCTAACCCTTGCATGGATGACTACCTACAGGCAATACTATTGCAGGTGTGTTCTGTGTCCAAAGGAGGTCTTCTCCCCCTTCATGGACCTCTCTTCCTATGTGAGTCGCTATTGAAATGTCCATTCTTTTATGGAAGTGCCACTGAGTGGTGACATCCTAGATCAGTTTATTAGCACAAAATAAAGAATGGATAAATGGTTTCTTGGTACTCCAGAACATCATAAATGCCAACAGAGAAGGTCTATAAAAATATGCCTAATTTCTGCAGCGAGAGTGTCCCTGTACTATTTGAAATAAAGAGGAACTGGATTGTGTGAATCTGGATTTACTGTAATGAGAGTTAGTTCAGGAACTGGGATATGACCTTCAGCTCAAACACCAGTAAGATTCCCAATCTGGAATGGTCTGGGATTTGCCATTAATTCCTTTTTTATTTTGAACCTGCAGCCTTGTGAACTTGTGAATTTTACAAGACAAAACTGCCGTAAGTAGGGAGCATCTTATTTTACCTCTGACATCTAGTCACTCTTCTTAAAGGGAATAGCCTCCACTGGAAACCCTGTAAACTGATAGTTTGTATCTGAGTTCCGTTTGACTGGTAGTTGTTAATTGTGAGGGATTTTCAGCAGGTGTTTGAAGCAGACTTGCTCTTTTTGCTCCTTTTCTAATCTGTTAATTACAAAACCCATAACAAATATCTCTTTACCTCATTAAAGATTAAAATAATTCTTTGGCATTGTGCCAACACCCTTTGGGGAGTTCTCTGAGAGAAGACAATGGATTACGTGTACTGTCCTCCAAATTAGGTGTGTTCGTTCCCTTCAGACATATGTGCGCAGCAGAACCCAGAACAATTTTTTTACTTCCCATCCAGTAAAAGTGCACTATTTTGAGTATTTGATTATGGAAGAAGAGTGTTGTCTTGCACTGGCAGGTTCTATCAGTTGTCTGAGCTTTGAATCAGGCTTTTTATTGAAAGCAAGTGAATATGTCACTGTATTAATGAATATGGGCCCAAAATAATTTATTTTCTCTCCCTCTCTTCCTTGCAGCTTGCTCATCAGGTAAGTCCATCTGGCCTCTGCATATCCATTCTTCTATAGACTTGAAGAAAAAACTAACAATATTTGAGTTGTGGAAAGGTTCTCACAGAAATTTTCTGCTTCAATATACAGACACATGTCCAGCTTACCCAACTGAAGTGGTGTTTGCCTTCGATATGTCTGATGATGTTACACCAGCTGCATTTGAAAGGATGAGAAACATTGTCATGTTGTTGCTGAGGACCATAAAGATCAGTGAAAGCAATTGCCCAACAGGCGCTCGTGTCTCCGTTGTTTCTTTCAACACCAATATGCGCTATCTCATCCGATTCTCAGAATTCCAAAAAAGCAACTTGCTGCAACAAGCAGTCCAGAGAATACCTCTGGAGAGATCCACTGGAAAGCGAAATATTGGGGCAGCCATGAGATTTGTTGCAAGAAATGTCTTCAAACGTGTTCGTCAGGGCATCCTCACAAGAAAAGTAGCCCTATTTTTTGCCAATGGTCCATCGCAGGATGATGTTGCCATCAGCACAGCTGTGCTTGAGTTGAGTGCCTTAGATATCACTCCAGTGGTTATTGCCTTCAGTGAAGTGCCAAATGTCAGACGTGCCTTCTCAGTAAGTAGATAGATGATAGAAAATTGGGTCACCCATTTGCTCAGTGTCTGCTATTGTTTGAGTAAATCCTGCTCTCAGTCCAGTAAGTTCTAGGAACTGTCTAATCCTTTAGTAGAAAGAGGTACATAAAAGAATATTACTTCAATGAAGAAACGGTGATTCACTTGACCATAATGATCATCATCTGACCTCTTTCTGCACATGAATTATGAATGGCTTGTGCTTTTAGGCCAAATCGCAGAATTTCCATAACATTGTTTTAATTTCACTTAGTTACCTTTGCCATTACTCTTCTGAAGATGTGACATGTACTGACCATTTAACTAAGAAACTGTGGCCCTAGTTTCTAGAAAAAGTAATAGAAGTCTTCAAGTACACCATGTTTTTTTCAAAGGAAAATTAAATTAAGCAAAACCCCTTTTGATATCTGTATTGCCATTCGCACAGGAGAAAATCATGAAATTTTGTTTTATGACTTCATATAAAAGATAGTAAATGAAAATAAACAGTCCATTTTACAAGGTACAAGAGGAAACAATTCTAAATTTATTTAAGATTTCATAACATAGATTCCATGGTCTCCGTCTTTCCAATTTGTTTTGATATCATCTGTTTTCAGTTTGAACTTTTTCAAAATAAAATTCTTTCAAGCTGCTGTTTCTTTGTAGTTGTCCTTCCAAAAGGAAACATGTTCACTTACACAGGACAAAAGGTGCAAAACTTGGAGTCTGTTCTGATCTAGTAGCCATTTAATCTTCTTATTATATTTATTCTCATGCAGCCTCATATCTCTTAGTTAATTCATGTATTTTTCTGGCTGGATGTTAATTTAGCAGAATGAAATAATTCTGTTAACATACGAGAAGGAAGCTTATAGTTTGTTGACTGGATTGCTCCACAGGATAAACAGGAGCAAGCATCAGTATTTTGTTTACTTAGTGTAAACAGGTTACAAATCTGAATGCATGTGATGATGTCTGGTATTTACAAAAGTGCCAATTATCCATAAATCAGTCTTCAGAGAAGAAAAGTTTAAAAGAGCTGCTTAGCAGGGGGAAAGGCAAAAAATTCATGGCAGCAGCTCTGCTTTATGTTTACAATGATGGGAAAGCAACCAACCTCACCGCTACCCCCCGAGTAAATACAACCTCCCTTTTTCTTTGAGATGGACTTCTGCCCTTGTAGTTGAGAGATGGTTTAATCTTTATGATCCTGCCAGCCTGTAGCCAAAGATACTTAGTGCCTTTGGTCACTTTGTTTTAGGAGTTTCAGTTTAGAGATCATTCAAACCTTGCCAATTCTAATTCCTTTGAAGAGTTCTATCTATAACATTCTTGACAGACATTAATCAGAATTTAATTGTCTAGTTTAAGCTGAAGTTTAATGCAAAGAAGTAATTATTTCTTTACTCACCATTATAGTATAATGTACAGCCATTTTTGTTAATCTTAGTCTACAAGGAAATGCATTTTCCCTTGAATCACATTTGGATGGGGTTGGGTGGTCAGTGAAATTATAGATTGTTGTTGGAGTGTCTTCAGAGTTCCTCAAGCATTTCTGTGGTCAAATCTTCTACTGGGGAAGATTGTCTTTCTTCAGCTTATCACAGGCAACACATACATTGTTCCAAGGCTAAAATCTTCTCTCCCAAGAAAACATTTTCACTCTTTATCCCAGATATAAGAGATTCTGCCCTTTTCTCTGTAGAAAAACACACCCTATTAAGAAAAGAAAAAAGAAAAACTGTAATATATTTTACCTGTCTTTTAAATGTTACTTTTGTGTCTGCTTTAAAACATAGATTGATGACACTAGAAGATTTCAATTATTTGTTTGGGAAAGACAACAGGATGAAAGTTTGGAGGGCATCACATATTGTACACTTTGCTTTGGTAAGACATTTTACAAATTCCATCTGTTGTATTGGTCTATTTAGCCTTTCAATAACACATTCTATTGTATTTATTTTGCAGTGTGGTGTTGGGGAATTTTTATGGTACACCTTAAATGTGTTTGTGCTTAAATATAAAAGAAAAATATTAATAAACAATGCACTGGGCAGAATCCTACTGCCATAAATGGTTCTACAAGGAGTTTGCAAAAATGTAAGAGCTGATTCCTTATATATGCTTGCACCAGCACCAATCCCATGAGTGGTTGCATGGAGCAACTCAGCCCAGCTCGGCTGCCCATAGGTACCCTGAGTGCTCCCATTCCAGGGTGGCTACAAGACAGTGCTGCAGCTGTTTCTTGTCATCACCAAGAGAAACTTCACTCCCTGACAGGGATTTTTTCTGTGTCTGACATTCCTGCTTCCAGCCAACTTAACCCCTTCTGCAAGTGGGCCTTCTTGCCCCCTGTGACAGATCATTTCTTGGTTACAGTTATCAGTGCTGAGGAGTTATAATTTTAATTTCCTCTTCAGTGGATGGTAAGAATTAGACTGTCAAACCCACAAAAGCTGTTTAATTAGTTTCTGTCTCAGACATGTGAAATGAATTACTGTATTTAGCATTTCCTTTTTAACAGAAATGAACTTAAAATAGCATTATGATTCTGGGAAACCAGGCTCATCTGCTGTGGATTGTACACTGTGAGGGGAGGAGATGCTACTAAATGATAATGTTTCAGAATGTTGAATAGTGATCTGAGATGAAAAATAGGGTTTGTTTCTGTGTCCTTTACAATGTTTAGATTTCAACAGAAGAAAATTTCTCAAGGGAACTATGGATCTATGAAGTTTTACCTTATGAATGTTTTTTTGCTCTCATGCCTGAATAATTTCCCATATCTCAAAACCTCCTTCAGCAAGACTCGTCTGCTGTTCATTACTAGAACAAAAAGATTTCAAGTTCCCAGATTATTTTTTTTAATCAAAATTTAAGAAAAATAAAATAAATGTATAGGACTGTGTGAATTTTTTTCCAAACTCTTGCTTTTGTTGTATTGCTAAATAGTTTGCTGTTTGCTCTTCCTCTCTAGATAAATGCAAACCAAGAACCAACTGCGAGGTGCCCATTTTCCCCCCAGTTCTGATGGATATGGATATCACTTACATCATGGACAGCTCTCGCAGTGTCAGCAGCGAAGAGTTTCAGAGAGCCAAAGACTTTGTGAACAACATGCTAGATCAGTTTGTTGTTTCCTTACAGCCAAACGAATCATACGGAGGCATCAGAGTGGCACTGGTGCAGCAAGCTCCTAGGGGCTTCCTGCCTGGCAGAAACCAGACACCTGTGGCCTTGGAGTTTGATCTAGTTACATACAGCAGTAAAGATTTGATGAAGAAACACATCCAAGAGTCTCTTCACCAACTGGAAGGGCCATCAGCCATTGCTTCTGCTCTACAGTGGACAGTCGAAAATGTATTCTTTAAAGCCCCCAGACAAAGGAAACACAGGGTCATATTTACAATAGTTGGAAGCAAAACAAGCACGTGGGACAGAGAGATGCTGAAAGAGATTTCACTCGGAGCCAAGTGCCAAGGATTCACTTTGTTCACTCTTGCGCTTGGCAGTGATGTGAGTGACAATGAGTTGATGGAGCTGCCGAGTTCCCCCACAGAGCAGCACTTACTGACACTGGGCAGGGTTTCGGCAGCGGAGATGGTGTACGCTCAGAGGTTTAGCCGGGCATTTCTAAATCTTCTACAGCGTAAGTATCACACAATGGCATTTGCTTAAGGTGTGGAAAGAAAGAGAAATGCTGTGTAGAATAAGGTAGTCAGTATATATGTGCTATCATTCCTAGTCATAACTGCCAGTCTTTCACCTTTAGTTTGCCTCAGATGCTGGACATTAATGGAAGTGCCAGCAATGACAGAACAGCATTATATTCTAGTCTTAAGCAGTTTTTTTCCCTGAAGTTTTTATTTAATGTGTGGCTTTGTGAACTCTACTTTCATTAAAGGTAGACTATTCTCAGCTAAGAGAACACAGTTCTGATTCCTGATTAGGTCCACATTTCTCCTCAGACCATTGGCAGGTCCAGATTTACTATGCTTATTTAGGCTTTGGAACAGGTAAATATTTAGCACATTTTCTCTTTATTGCAGTTATTCCTCCTCCACAGAGCAGAAAAAGGACTTCTTCACTTTTCAAGACACATTCATGCAGATTAGCAGGTCTTAGGTGCTTTGAAATACAAACAAGAAGATATCAAGAAGGAAATTGTCATTGATTTAAAATCCTGTATGTACTTAGAGACTTGAAAGTTTCTTTGGAAGCTAAATAGGTTATTACAGAGCAAGACAAAAGTATGAAAGATTGGTTCAGGAGTCATTCTCACCTAGCTAACCTCTATCATAATTTTCATTTTCCTGGACATAGTCCAGTCACTCTGGATATGGTGTGTTAACTTACTGAAAGATGCAAACTTCAGTTCACAACAAAAAACTCACATAGTGCTTTTTACTAAACATATTGGGGTTTGGAGGACTTTAAAACTCAACCGTGGTATCTGGGCTTTCCCCACAGAAGAAATGAACAGTTATCCTTCACCTGAACTTCAAGAAGAGTGTGAAAACTTAGATCGGGGAGACATACAACAGCAAGTGTCTGTAATTGAAAGGTTTGGAATTGCCTATTTAACTCTTTGGGTGTGTATCTCTGAATATAAGATTTTTACCTTTGTGTCAATAGTTGTATTTAAAGTACCTTTAATAGAAATGGGACCAGGATGCATTTTTCAAGGTCATACTGGTGTTTAAATAATTTTTCTTTTCCCTCTCTTCTTGGAAGGATGCCTTTTCCTGGAATGGCTGAACTTGGTTCCAGTTATGGTTTGGAAGACACTGAAAAAACTGAAAGTAGAGTCATGAAGAGTATTAAAGAGAACACCAAAGAACTTGTATACACAATGCCAGAAATGAGATATGATTATGAGGAGAAGAATGAATATGTCACAGAGGGAGCTGCTGTGGGAGAAAAGCCACAAGAGTGTGGAGAAGCTCAGGAGGAGAACAAGGAAAACTTAGGTGCAACAGTAGAAACTAGAACTACCTGTAATGATTATGGTATGATTTTAGAATATGAAAATCCTTTTTTAATTCAGTAAAAAAGCTTTAAATTGTAAAGGGTTCAGTTGAATATTTACACATGATGAAGAATTTCCATTAATTGCACTTTTCCAAAGCATTTGGTCATCATATGTTTGCATTCAGTCCAAATCTATACAGTAAGAGTCTGTAACTGAAGATTGAACTATACGTGTCATTGTGACTTTAGTTTTGACTTGTAACTTTTTGTGATAATATCATAAAAAGTTCTAATCCCCCTTACTAAAACAGATGATCATTTTAAATTCCAAGTTGCACTGTAATTCCTGAGTTACTCCTACTGATAACTTAGGTCAACATTGAGGAACTAAATATATCTCTGATACAGTCTGTTCCTGTAGGAAGAACAGGATCCCTTGGCGGAAGTCTCAAAATATATATTCTTCATGTTTTTAACTTTTCTTCCTAATTATGCATTTTTCTTCACAGATTTGACATTTGATACAGGTATGGGAAGCTGATTATGAGATTATTTGTCATCAACATTCTTTTAGCACAATTGAGTGTTTTTGTTGTTTAAAATACAGTTAAAGAGAATTTATGTGAAAAAAATGAAAAGGTGTCTGCATAGTTTTGGTTGTGGTAGCTCATTGCTGCAGCTGTCATCCCTTTGTTTTTCATCCTTCTCCACTCAAATATGATTCCAGAGTGTCTGGTGGCCACATCCCTGATGAGAGAGTACCAATGCCTTTGCAATACTGTTTTAATATTGGATCTTTAATTAAGAGCTAGTGTACCACTGTGAACGCCATACAACCACAGTGCGTGACAGACTTACTCAGCACCATAGGAATTGGTCCTGTTACCTGACTGCATGAGTACAGTCTTGTTAATCTCTATTTAACCAGTTCATGAACTCTGTGGTCACACAGGAAATCCAGTAACAGGAAGATATGTCACTGTTTATACTTTACAAATAAAATATTTCCTTTGAGGAAGTAGTCAGGGTCATTGCACCAATGCAAGAAGTGACGTAGAACACTTAGAGGAGAGGTATGAACTGCCTTTCTCGATCCTGTGTTGTAACTAGTGACCCGACAGTTTACTTCTAAAAACATGTAACCTGGTTCCAGAACTTGTCTTTTGAGAGGTATACTTTGTACTGATCTGTTGCTTGAGATTATTGCTTTTCAGTTGATTAGGAGAAGGTTACGTCATTTTAAATCTTTAAGCAGGGTAGTTTTATCACGATTTTGCTTTACTTCTCAGTTCTTCCCCTTCAATGTTGTACAGGCACAAACGTCTAGACCTGCCCTTCTGTCTTCTTTTGAGTAACTCTGAATTTACGTTAGTGAAAGATGATTAGATCTGTTCTTACGGAATGCCAGATTGCTACAAAGTATGCTACTCTCACCTACTTTTCTAATTTATGCAGTTTAAATTTGTATTATTATTGGATTTGGCTAAGAGACTATCATGGATAGTTTAACAACCTGTGTAAGTTTGTTTACGAAATATTATTGATGGATACCAGTATAACAAGTTGGAATAAAGAAGAGGGAAATTATTAAAAGGTTTATTTACATAGTTTCTGTGGACCAGATATAGTCATTTTACAATCATTTTAATAAAAAGTCTATGTTAGAAGACTAAAAACCTTTTAGCATTCCTTCTATTTATGCTGCTGAAATCTCGTCATTTCAGACATTCTTTCTGGTTAAAGCAATCATAAGAAGAGGGTCTTCAGACCATGCTGACACTGTGGGTTTGTAGATGAATACTTAGTAAATCTTTGTAAAATCTCGAACACTGGCTACTTATTTTGTCTGACAGTTTGCACTGAATGTTAGTTTCCCCTGAATTTAACAGTGCTAAGAAGGGTTGACCTTTCTTTCATTAAATCTGTCTCTTATTTCCCTTTTCCAGATGCATGTGACCTTGTTCAAGATAGTGGAGAATGTCAGAATTACATTTTGAAGTGGTACTACGACAAAGAGCAGAAAATGTGTGGTCAGTTCTGGTATGGGGGCTGCGGAGGCAATAGAAATAGATTTGAAACACAAGAAGAATGTGGATTCTTGTGTATAGAGTCTTCCTAGTGCAGAGACACTTAAGTTACTTTAATTCTTCAGTTAGACTATCAGGGTGATGCAGAAAAGGGATTCAAAGAGAAGGCTTTACATAGCCACTTGGCTCCCATGTTTCAGTTGAAAGAAATACTTGATTATGAAGTTATTACCTGGTAACTTAATTGTGAAAATTAAAATTTAAGCTATTACTCCATTGATCTCATATAACATGCTGAGTACGGAGAAATTTGTTAGCCAACAATGTATTGTTTAAAATGCATGAAAGTATTGAAATTTGACTTTCTTCCATAAATACCAAAATGTGCGCTTTCGAAATATACTCCGTAAAATAAAACAATACCTCAGAGATTTTCCTGAAATAACTTTGGACGCAAGACACTAATGTCAGAATGCTTTGATGTGTTTGCTTACATTTATCCTGTTTATAGAAAATACCAAACAGCATGTAGATCTCAAATGACAGACTTCCTAGGACTTATTTCACTCTGATTTAAAGGATTTTCTACCACAGAGTCATTCTTGGTTTCTTAATTATTTTTCTCCTGAATAATCCAACATGTGAATAAAATCAATAATTCTGAAATATTGTACTTCTGCTCCTAGTTCCTGAAACAGGTATAACTGTATTCTCACTGTGTGGCATCTCATTTGTAAATAAGCATTGGTCCCCTTTCCTTGTTACCTGATGTTAGACAAATGCATTTATTTTAGAACATTTTCATGGTTGCTCTTGAGTGGAAGAAAAGATCCTGAGGACATCATCTGATTAAAGATAATAAATACAATGCTGTGCAGGCAGGTGGAACTTATATAAACTTTCACACTCCGTTGACTTATCCAAACTTTACGGTTGCCCATTTTATGTCTGTAGAAGTCATGGTGCATTTAACTTCACCTTGGTCCACTCTGCAGAGGTGGCTGTACTCACCTGGAATTTTGTTCTTCTCTGTATTAATCTACAAGATGATACAAGATTACATCTAGTGGCAGTTTTCCTTATGGTTCTTTGGAAAAAAAAAAAGAAGAAAAATATTAAACTGGAAGAAGAGCTGTAAAAATGATACAGAAAATGTTTCCTACTGGTGAAATAAAGTGAAAAAAATTATATATATTTTATATCTGAGGATGGATACCACTGGATATAAAGCAATATATGTCAGGCCCCCTTAAATAAAATTTAAAATTTCCCTTTAAAAATACAGGCTTTGCTCTGATTCAAAGGAATCACACACACAATAGTGAGTCCTTCCTAGCACAAGAGCTCCTCCTGGCACCCCAGTCACCCTTGCTGGGTTGGCTGTTTCAAGGGAGGGTCTCCTCTACACACCATACAACTGATGCTACGTGGAGTAAGTGGGTCACACTGATCACACAGCGAGCTTGGATAGGAAACCCCAGTCATCCAGGAATCTTAGAAGTGCTCATGGACTGGTCAGAAGGCAAAGATTTTGGAATGTCGCCAGAGGAAGAAGTAACACATGCTGAAGAGGCCCCACTATACAATGAATTACCAGAAAGTGAAAAGCAATTGCCTTGTTTACTGATGAATCCTGCCATCTTGTGGGAAAGCATCGGAGATGGAAAGGAGCTACCACAAGTCATAGAAACTGATGAAGCATAAGGTGAATTGAGTCGGTTTGCAGAGGTGAAAGCCATCCAGTTGGCCTTTGACAATGAAGAACATTAGAACAACCAACAAGTGGATCAGGATGCTAGGATTGAAGTGGCTCAGGTGGTTTTGAATTGGCAACATAAGGGTGAATTTTTTCTAGCTTGGTGGGCCCATGACGTTGGGCCATCAAGGAAGAGGTGCAAAATGCAGGTGGGCTTGTGATTGAGGAGTGGAGTTAACCATAGACACTATCACACAAGTTATCCATGGATGTGAAACATGCATTGCAATAAAGCAAACCAAGCGGATAAATCCCCTCTGGTATGGAGGACAATGGGTGAAATAAAAGTATGGAGAGACGTGGGAGATTGACCATATCACACTCCCTCAAACCCATGACGGCAAGTGCCATGTGCTTACAATGCTTACAATGGTGGAAGCAACCACCAGAGGTCTGGAAACATATCCTGTGCCCCATGCCATGGCCTGGAACACTGTCCTGGGCATTGAAAAGCAAGTCTTAAAACAACATGGTACTCCAGCAAGAAAGAACAGAACTCATTTCCAGAACAACTTCATAGACATTTGGGCCACAGAACATGGCATTTGAGTGTGTATATCACATTCCCTGTCATGCACCAGCCTCTGGAAAGATCAAACAATGTAACAGACTGTTAAAGACTACACCAAGAGCAATGGGTGGTGGGACCCTCGAACATTGGGATACACATTTAGCAAAGATCACATGATTAGTCAGCACTAGGGAATCTGCCAGTCAGACTGACCCTGACTAATCAAAACTTTTACATACTATAGAGGAGGATAGAATTCCTGTAGTGCATATTGAAAACGTGCTGGGGTGGGGAAAGCTGAGTGGGTTATTTCTAACTCAGACAAAGGCAAACCCATTCTATGCTAGCCCCAGCAGCTGGAAAGGACTGTCATGGTTTAACCTCAACCAGCAACTAAGCCCCACACAGCTGGGGAAAAGAATAGGAAGAGTAAAAGGGAGAAAACTCAAGCCTTGAGGCAAAGACATTTTAATAGATAAAGCAAAAGCCATGCACACAAGGAAAGCAAAACAAGGAATTAATTCAGCATGTTCCACTGGCAGGCAGGTATTCAGCCATCCCCGGGAAAGCAGGGCTACATCACATGTAATGTTTACTTGGGAAGATAAACATCACTGTGAACATTTACCCCTTCATTCCTCCCCAGCTTTAGATGCTGAGCAGGATGCCATGCAGTATGGAGTATCCCTTGAGTCAGTGGGAGTGAGCTGTCCCATCTGTGCCCTCCCACCTTGTGCCCCTGCAGCCTTCTTGATGGTGGGGTGGGGGGTGAGAGACAGAAAGGGCCTTGACTCCATGCAAGCACTGCTCAGCAATAATGAAAACATTCCTGAATTTTTGACACTGTTTCCAGCACAAACCCCAACTAAACATCTGTTCCAGCCATTGAAAAGAAAATTACACTTTACCCCGGCCAACTCCAACTCCAACTCCAACTCCAGCACATTCTCCACCCCTACAGGCAATGGGTTGACCATGGCTGGATGCCAGATGCCCACCAAAGCCACTCTATCACTCCCCTCCTCAGCTGGACGTGGGAGAGAAAATAAAAGGAAAGGCTTGTGGATCCAGATAAGGACGGGGAAAGATCACTCAGTAATTATTGTCACAGCAAAACTGTCTCTATTTGGGGAAAGTAATTGAATTTATTACCAGCCAAATCAGAGTAGGACAATGAGAAATAAAACCATCTCTTAAAACACTTTTCCCTCACCCTTTCCTCCTTTCCAGACTTAACTTTATTCTTGAGTTCTCTACCTCCTCCTCCCCCTGAGCAGGATAGTGGGATGGGGAATGGCAGTTTTGGTCAACTCATCACACACTGTCTCTGCTGCTCCTTCCTTCTCAGGGGAAGGACTCATGCTCTTTCCTTGCTCCAGTGTGGATTCCCTTGCACAGGGTGCAGTCCTTTGGGAACAGGCTGCTCCAGCATGGGATCTCTGTAGAGTTACAAGTCCTACCAGCAAACCTTCTTCAGCATGGACTCCTCTCTCCATGGGGCCACAGGTCCTGCCAGGAGCCTGCTCCAGCATGGGCTTCCCGCAGAGTTACAGCTTCCCTGGGTCATCCACATGCTCCAGTGGGCAGTACTCCAGAGGCTGCAAATTTTAATTGCTATGATGCAGTTGTCATCTGTATCGTACAGCCATTCTTGCCCATCTCTCCTCTTCCCCTCAGCTAGGCCAAATCTCTGAGCAAAGCTTGTGTTACTATAAGAATCTGGTAGCAGTCTACGATAGTTCTGTAAAGGCTGATAATTTCATGCTTGGATAATCATAGTCCTGATCTTGGTCAGGCCTGTCAAGTGAAGGCACTGTCCAAGCCCCTGAAGACTGTGCTAATGTTGTTGTATCAGGCTGTCCATCAATGACAAATCCAAGACTCTTCATGAACTGAGAGGCTGATTTGATAGAATAACACCATACTAGGGTCTTTAGTCAAAGGAGGTTTCTCTGCAGATTCAAGTTCATCCAGGTGTCACCTTCTGTTCATTGGTATCACCTTTACTTTGTGCAAGGTCAGTGTTCCCTAACTGTCTGTTTTACCTTCCCAGGCTGACCTTTGTGCTCTTTTCTACATGGTTAGCTCTCCGCTCTAGGGACCTGCTCTTTCTCATGAGACAGAAGAAGAGAGAAGGAAGAGTCGAAACAGTCTCTGAACCCTACAGCAAGTTTTTTGGCAGCCCCCTAGCAGTGCTCATCTCCAAGAACTCTGCAGGACAGTCTGTTAGTGGGTGCACATCACTGCGTCTTTCACTTGAAGCCAAAGGAAAGATCTCAATGACTTTAGAGGCAGCTAGCCTAAGTCCAACTCACATCAAACCTCAATGCACCTGCTGGATAACAGACACATTTGTCATCTACATCCACTGTTTTCTGGGGTCAAGTAGTGCAGTGAAGCATTTTGCATGAACCATTTCTACCCAGACTGCTTTCTTTCTGTGTGAATGCATGTTTCGTGCTCCAGGAATGTCTGTCAGCAGTTTTTAAAATCTTAAGGAAAATCTAGGATTACTTACTTCCAAATCCCATTCCCTGCTTTTTGATAAATAAATAAATTAAAAAAAAATCTTATTGCTAGCTCTAAAGTGTGTCTAATGGAAGATCATTTCAGTTTCATTTGAAAAATTCAGTGTTTGATTGTGAAAAACAGGGACAGTTTGATGTCTTTCCTTAAATTAAAACATTTGTTAGATAGGAGCTGTGTATTAAACCTTTCCAGATGTTTATTGCTAGCTTGTACAAATAGCTGAGAACACATGAAAAACTAATTAACTTAGATCTACAGCAAGGGAGGACAAGGGTTTACTGTAACAGTGATGTGAAGGAAAACACCAAGTGTTCTCCAGAGGAATCTAAGGAAGAGATACGATGTAGTTCCTCTTCTTTAATTAGTTTTTCTTGGCTAATTTAATCCACAGCTTTAAATTCT